GATTAATTGCGAAGAAAGCTTGAAATATTAAAATGTTGATATCCGCTATCTAGATCTCTCCATCAAATATACGGTATCTCCCCTCTTTTGTACTTTTAATAAATATTAGAGACTCACTTTTCATGCACAATCTGCACAACTCTGGCTAGTTATGAAGGTTTACAGTCATATATAATGCATCTCATAGACAGAACATAATTACATTCAATAAGACTTTCATAAAGAGTAATGACCATTACAATGGGAGTGACATCAACTGGGTACATGGAAGTCAATGGTATAGTTGGTATGGCATTCTCACTAGGGAGAGCCCCAGAAGTTCCTGACAACTTTCAAACTGATGGTTCGTCCAAAAACACCCTTTATTTCATTTACACAAGTCCTTTTATAGCTTCTGACACTGGATCTTGAATTATGAATTAGAAATATTCTTCTTTAAAAGTTTAAAAAGCCCACAAGCAAAACTGGGTTGCATACAATACAAAGAGCTATTGTTGTGCAGCAATTTAAGGTTGATACTGGGTAATTCCTTCCCAGGCGTATCCCAATATTTTGGCAGGGGTTTACTAACCAACAAAGACAAACAAAATTATAACTCCTTTTCTCTTCGAATACAGTCACTCTGGGGAAATATCTTATTTTGTCAAACACTATGACTGCACCCAGATTTGTTTCACTTTAATGCGTCAGTATGGAAAGAGAGTGTCATTTCAAACAATTCGAGTGTATGGAGCTTAAAATATAACATCACAGTTACTTTTAAACTATTAATTATTAAAACTTTGTAACTGAACTATGTAACTTAGGACTAACTTTGTAACTTTGAACTTGAAACTAAGTTATGTAACTTAGGACTTTAAAACAATGTTTTTATAACCTCTTAAGTCTTTATCCTTCAAGTTCCACATGGTCTTACATTTATGCTTAACATGCTTCTAAATGTAAAACATTCTAATTTAGACTTATCAAACATTACAGGAAGGTCAAGTTCAGACACCCATGCACATCTACAAACCAAAGGTAAGCTAACAAGACAGCTTTCTCATGTGAAAGTATGTAAAGATGTCCACATCAATGAGTTTACATTTAGTCATTAGTCAGTCCTAATGAGATAAAAATGCACTTAAAGCAATGATACTTTTATCACTTTAAAAAAATTATATTGCTTCAATATCTGATTAAAATGAGACAGTCAAAGAAAGCAAGTGCTGCGTCAGTCCTAACAAATAAGTGGTAAACCAGTCCTAACACATAAGTGGTGCATCAGTCCTAAGAAACAAGTGGTACATCAGTCCTAACAAATAAGTGGTAAACCAGTCCTAACAAATAAGTGGTGCAGCAGTACTAAGAAACAAGTGGTGCATCAGTCCTAATAAATAAGTGGTAAACCAGTCCTAACAAATAAGTGGTAAGCCAGTCCTAAGAAACAAGTGGTGCATCAGTCTTAACAAATAAGTGGTAAACCAGTCCTAACAAATAAGTGGTAAACCAGTCCTAACAAATAAGTGGTGCATCAGTCTTAACAAATAAGTGGTAAACCAGTCCTAAGAAACAAGTGGTGCATCAGTCCTAAGAAACAAGTGGTGCGTCAGTCCCAACAAACAAGTGGTGCACCAGGCCAAACAAACAAGTGGTGCGTCAGTCCTAAGAAACAAGTGGTGTGTCAGTCCTAAGAAACAAGTGGTGCATCAGTACCTACAAACAAGTGGTGCACCAGGCCAAACAAATAAATGGTGCACAGTCCTAGCAAAAAAGTGGTTTACCAGTCCTAACACCAGACCAAACAAATAATGAGTATACCAGTTTTCACAAGTGGTGTACCAGACCACATGAATAAATGGTGCACAAGTCCTACAAAAAAGTAGTGCAGTCTTAAGAAATTCATATTTTCAGTTATGTGGCCCACTGAGTATGCCACCAAGCTTTTCACTGGAAATTCAGATAGTTTTGTGCAGAAACATGATAAATAGGTCCTTTTGACAACAGGTGCAAGCTTCATGAAAGAGCAGGACAGAACATTATAAATTAAACTGACTTATACTAAAATGGGTAAAAAATACATTATATAAGTGGAATACAAAGAAAATGTGATGCACATTAGCTGTACAGGCAAGTGAGATTCCAGCCTTGGTTTATCAATAAAAAAAGTTTAAAATAATAAAGTTTAGAACAATTTTTTTTTCACTTTGTTACTTTAAATATGGGCATATTGTATTATTTAACTAACAATTATAAACACAATGAAACATTCTTACATGCAAATGTACAATTTTTATTATGCACTGTCATGAACTTTTTAGTTGACAGGTATTTAATGTGTTATCAACATCAAATTAATCACATAGCCAAGTCTACAAAAACTAAATTGTGACATACATTCTTCTGAGGCAGTGATTTTCCTACTTATATAACAGACTCCGAAAAAAGGCCTCTTCCCAATTGAAATTTTCTTTAAAATCATGCAGTTTTCCCAAAAATCTGAACTCAAACCACCTATTTTACTTCCCAAAACAGCAATTTTAGCGATAATTTTTCCCAAAATCAAGAGGCTAAGGCCTCTTCCCAATAAAGTGAGAAAAATCACTGTGAGGGGACTGATAATTTGACATAATTTAATATAAATTTATGTAGAAAAACTAGCTATCCTCCGACATGCCAACAGACATTCAAAGATAGATGGTTCTTTAAATTAATATAAAGATAGGTGGTTCTTTAATATAAAGATATGTGGTTCTTTAAATTAATATAAAGATAGGTGGTTCTTTAAATTAATATAAAGATAGGTGGTTCTTTAAATTAATATAAAGATAGGTGGTTCTTTAAATTGATATAAAGATAGCTGTTTTTTTAAATTAATATAAAGATAGGTGGTTCTTTAAATTAATATAAAGATAAGTGGTAGGGGTGGTCTTTAAATTAATATAAAGATAGGTGGTTCTTTAATATAAAGATAGGTGGTTCTTTAAATTAATATAAAAGTAGGTGGTTTTTTAAATTAATATATGGGTGGTTCTTTAAATCAATAAAACTTGTGCAGTATTTGCTGAAAAAGAACTTCACCATCTTTTTAATCAAAACAGAATTCCATTCAAAATACTTTATAAAAAATTACAACTTGTTTTTAAAATAAACAGATTGTTAACTAAAATAACTTAAAAAGTTTATGGGCCTTTATATTGAGATGTATGCCCTCAAGCCAGAGGCTCATCAGTAAACATAAATATTAACTATAGTTGTTGTTATAGTTGATAATATTTTTGTTATAATCATTATTATGAGTAAACCTGTTGTTGTTATTATTATTATTCTCTTTTTTTTCTTTTTTTGTTACATTTTCTAAATAAAGATTTTATACACAATGCATTTATTGAATTTGAAATAAAATACAATATTTTATTATGAAATAATATTATATATTATTCATAAATTAATTTTTATTTAAAAAGCTACTTCCCAACACACTTATGTGGTAATGGCATACAGCTATAATTAATTCATACCCCTCCCACTTATATTTGTGATTTTGTCTAATACAGAGGGTTATAAATTATGCAAGGAGAGGCACAAAACAAACTAATGGCCAGAAAAAGCAAAATTGAATATTTTATCCTGCAAAAATTCTTCATAACCTATTTCTAATTTGACAAGAAATACAAGAATGCACAACTTTAAGACAATGATAAAATAATTAAAAGACAAAGAATAACATACAAGTAAATAAGTTATATAGAACTTTTACTATAGCAAGAATTTAGTTTGTGATTTTTTTTCATTCTACCCAGTGAAGTGTAATCCTTTGTGAATCTTTAAAATGAAAAAAAGAAACTTTGTTGAAAAAAAGTTAACTTTAAATGCAGGAAAAATGGACCCTTAAGGCCAATATCTACAATAGTTAAAGCTGTCAACGAAAATGAATACCTTAAATTCTATTCAAAAAGGGATGCTTTTTATTCACCCAGGTTTTACCACTGGGTTTAATATCAGGGCTAATAAGCAGTTTCTTTTACAAGGGACCAAGTTGAATGACTAAGTAATCTTTAATCTCAGTTGATAAAAAAATATACTTTCATCTTTCATCTCTTATAGGTCACAGATTTTGTTGCAATTTGATTTATATTTACACAAATTTTGCTTTTTAACAGATGTGAAGATTTACAAAATATATGAAGAAAATTGATGAAAGAAAGGGAATAGAATACTAAATCACTCTTCTTTAAAATGCCACAATATTTTTTAATATCTGAAAATCTTATCTTTGGCCTCTATAAATGTGTATCTGTGGTGAAGTGTAACACAATAAATGAACACATATATGATGGCAACTAAATGACTTAACATAATGTAGGCAACACACCTACTCAGCAATCCATATGAGAATATCCAAACAGTACATCACACCTACATCCATGTATGCAATGTAGATATAAAATACTATGTTTGATACTGTACTTAAACCTTAAGAAATCTGAACAAATTTGACCTGATCAAACATCTTGGTCAGATTCCTAAATGGTGTGAAAGCCTGAGAGGTATGCCAAATATAAAATTAATTGATAGTTGATTCTCTAATCCAGTAACATTTCTAAGTTGTTCAAGCCAGCCAACATCAATGCAGAAAACCCTAAACCAGGGGTCATGCAAAGTGAAGTGACCATATGGAGAATAACTCAAATACCTTTTAAATGTACTGATGACTTTCAGGTTTGGGAATAAACACCATTGGTGGGAAATCAAGTGCAGAAATTGCCAAAGGTGTATTGTATTAACAATAATTATTTTATAATTCTTTAAATTTAAGTGTAAAGAAGGAACATTATTTTCTGTACATATGCAACATATAATCATGAAACAATCCAGTTTAACTGTATATGTATGAAAGATTTCTATGAAAATACCCAGTACAATATTTTTGAACATTTAAAACTTTTAAACTTGTAAATCTTAAATCTTTTAAATTGATACAGAAAGATTCAGCTTCATTTCCTGATTTTATCCCTAATATGAAAAAAAGTCCACATAACTCTGAAATTTAACATTCAATTTAAAACTAGCTAATTTCTTAATCTAACCTGTAAATGTAAGCATGTTTGAATAAAGTAGTTCAAAATGACCTAGTTTAAACCTTGACATGCTTATTGGCTGCGTAAGAAAACATGCATCGCTGCAGTACAACTGCATTTCTATTTATAGCACATCCATGTTCATGCAATACAATGCTCCAGTCTGAATATTAATTAGTGTGTCGTGTAAAAGCATAAACATTCACATATGAATGGATTTTAATGAAATTTTCAGCGGAATTATGATGAAAAAAGTGTGTTTCGACGTAACTGGAGTAAAATACACGCATCGTGTTGAAATATTAGCGGAAATAGAAGTTTTTTTCTAGCCGACAATAATGGCCGTTCTGAACTGTTTGTTATGACTTCTTTAAATCAACGAAGCTGATCGATGTATGCAATTAACAACCAATTAAGTAGTGAAATGACGATTGTACAGCTCGCGACTTTTTTTATTAAAAAAATATACAGAAATTTACGTTCGGCAAAACCGCCTTAAACACCATCGTACACCTTATATATTTAAAACTAAAATTAAATAAGACTTTACTTATTCTACACATACCTTTCATTTATTAAACAAAAGTAACTCTGGATAATAATGTCAGGTTTCTTAATTTGCGCAAACAGTGGAAAATATGCGTTCGGATTGACCGTCTTTCATGCACTTACTAAGATGTTTTAGTCACGATTGCATAAAGGTTACAACTAAACATGCGATTTGTGTACATAAAATATTACGAGTAACCTACCAACCTCAAATCTCGGATCCTGATTAGGGTCTAGCGACACTGTTCAATGATCAAATGGAGTCCACACGTGTTTCGTTTTGCACACTTCAGTCATTCTGTACATTTCTGTGAATAGGAAGAGAACAATGTTACGTACAATCCGCATTGTTAAGAAACAAATAATTCCTCTCATGAATGTAAAAAGACGAAATTCTTACCGTAAAACTGAATAAACATACTTAAAAAAAGTTTCTTACAAAGTATCACCTTATGAGGCCATCCATTTTAGCTGTGCAGACTTCTTACCAATTCTCCCAACCTCCGCTGAAATTATGTCAAGGGAGGCGGAGCTACTTGTCGAAGTGCGAATACTGACTGGTAGCGAAATCGTGAGGGAATCATGTGATCACAAAGTATTATTTCATTGGCGCTCGTGGAGAAGGAGTCTGTCTGGGTTTAACACCTTTTCCCGCTTTTTTTGCGTTAAACATGAATCATTAGATATAAGGCGATTCTTGCGCCATATTATAATGTGTTATTAAAAAAGCGGGAATTAGGAAATTTGTTAAGAATGTACAATAAGACTATACATTGTTTAAATATCGTAATGTGTACCGGGAAATAAACATTCTGACAAGGCTTTATATCGTTAAATATCGCTACAAAAATGGTGGATTATGCCATTTTTTTTTCTGGATGATTCTATTAAAATATGCATTTTGTTCCAATCAGCTTTAATTTTATTTACGAAGCTAGATCAACTTAATGTTTTTAAATAAAGATGCGTTCAATAAATTTTCAATTTAATGAAATCGTCATTTGTTAGTGACTAACAAAAACTAACCTTTTAAACAAAAAATAGAAGGTTTTCTACAAAAATCCAGGGACATTAATAGATTTAGATATAGATAATATGTTCCAGATATATCATATTTTTTCAAAATAGCTTACGTTTTAGCTTATTCAAATGTAAAACAACCAAAGAATGACTGTTTTTTTTTGTCATTGATGAACTCTAGAATGTGTCATAATAAGGCATTTGAAAAGTGCACTCATTTGATTACACATTTCAATTTAAACATAAGTCATGCATGCACAATGGTAATTCAAAGTACCTATCTCCAGCTGTATTCCTTTAATTTTAATAATTATATAATAAACAGTAAGAAATATGGACAGGACTTCCATGATCATGTGTAGATCTCAGTTCAATTCCTTCCTGTATTTCATTGTATAAACATGTACACTATAAATAAATAAACAGGTTAAAATAAGATTATAAAATTAATTTGACTTAAGTATTATATCTTTACTTTGACAAATTCATGCATATTCTCAAAATTGAATTATATATTAAACTATGATCTTAATATGTTTGCATTCACACGTTTCCTACACACAAACTACATAGATCTTTCATACTACATATAGTTACATAGTTCTTACATATTATATTTTACAACAGCTAGCATACATGTAGATTTTAAATACATTTTGTTATCTATAATAAAAATTATATCCCTAAATTTAGTTTATTACCAAAGAATTGTTTTGTTTTGTTTTTGTTCTGGTCAAAAGTAGGAATCTTCCTTCTATGATGTAAACAATCTTTCTATAATTTTGTTGATGTTTTAGTAGATATTTATTTAATAATTTTCTATACCTACAAGTTCTTGAGATATGCAAAACAGAAAGCAAGTTTTATATTGGTTTAAGCATATTTTGTATATCATAACATTTGAATTTGATATGCTTAATAAGCACCAATGTTTATTATAGTTCACAAGACTTGATAAGATACATGTACAAATTGATATAAATTTGTAACAAAGATACACATATTTAATGTCCATACAAATGAATTGTCACTTGGTCTATTCAGTCATGAAACATCATCATCAACAACAACATCAACACTTTAATCTAGCTTACTCTTGTATGTGACACATGAAAAACACTGTTCAGAATTCAAATTAGATTTTGATGCAATTACTATCAGAATTTCAAAACATGTTTCATATTTATCATATTGACTTCTTAATTTAAGCACAACTTCCTCCTGAAAAGTATACATTTTTAATTTAGATAAATATATAATGAATACTAGATTTGGATAAATTTAACATTCTAATCTAAAATTAACACATTGAAGTGAATATAAAAGTAACTAAAGCATATCTTAATTACAACCAACATGGATTGAAAAACAAGTTACTTAATACTGTTGGAGAAATCCCTTCACCTGCATATCTAATCAATGACAATTTAAGCTTGGCTGACGACAACTAGTGTACATGTGCATACAACACTAATAAAGTAGAGTGAAGTGTAAAAATACAAGCTTTGGTTCATTCAATCTGTGCCATTACTTTTCCTTTTTAAGCTTTGTTTAGTTTTTATTTCACATAAAAATGTATATCTTTAGCGGTTTTTTGTCTGGAACAGAATATTTTTCAAGTTTGGAATAAAACTTAATTTCTAACATTCTATTAAACACAAGATGATTTATGTAAGTTGTTTTGATAGACATATAACATGAAAAATTAAATTGTGCATTTTTTTAAAGGATGGAATATGTATACGCGTTATATACATACATTTACACATATGTAATTTTGGCTTAAGTCTGAAGTTCTCTGCAGCTACGTTTGACCTCAAAGTGTGTTAAAGTTCATAAATAGCATATCATTTTGCGACAACGTGTGTAATCTTCATATATGGAGGAAAGAAAATTAATTACTACCGCACTAAACAACAGCCACGGCGACATTATCTTGGATTAGGATAATAAATAATGCAGCGGAAGTTAATAGAAAAGCCGCCGTTTTGGAATCTCTGTATTGCATCGTAAATATGTTAAGAAGCACATTCGCAGGACTAAAGGTACAGTAATTTTGCATTTTACATGTTCTACGGCCCAAATTAAGAAGAACCTTTTATATAAATAACCCCATTTCCTATAAATTACTTGAGCGAACAAACTTAAACAGAATTTCCATCACTGTCAGCATTCACGTATCACGAAAAAGAGTGATAATTATAAGCCGGTCTATCCAGTTCACATGGCAACGCAACGATGCGGGTAATATTCAAACTAGTTATGTAACAATAATTACCTTTCTAAATTAGTAGATTCTTAACGATTTAAATGTTCGTTAACCGTTGACCGAAACAAAAATCGCTAAAACTTAAGAAACGAATCAACTCTTTCCTTTGATCTTATCGCCATCTTGAAACGTCATACAAAATGGCGCCTTCTACTTCCTGAAATTTTAAAACTTTTACATAAATTGAAAGTTGAGAGAAAATGTCATTCATATCAGAATGAATATAGTTTTAAAGGGGTATAAATACATGGCATAAGATAAGTACAGGCATGCACCTGGTAGATAATCAAATTAAGACAATTATTTTTGATGAAATAAAGCAAGGAGGCCACTGGTCATCAAAAATTACTTCCAAATTATTTTTTTCTTAATTTTACTGTTGATAATGTTTGAAAATATTTTATACTTTAGTTTTGTTAATTTTAATCCGTTTGCAATTTATTTGAAAAGAACACCTATGTTACATCGATTTATTAAAAGCTTAATTGTCCGTTTTGAAGATGTCCGAAATAATTTTAAGTAACATGTGGACATAGATCCGAATATACTGTTCCTGGTAACATATTTTCCCTATTTCATGACTTCACAAGAGTTTAAGACAGTATTTGTATTGACTTTAATTTAGAAAAATTGTAGATTCAGTGATAATAAAGAATGCTATAAAACAAGAATAAAGTGAAATAAATTTATTAGCAGGCAGCCGAATATAAGAAATTTAAAAATGAATTGTCAAAATTTTAGTAGGTTTCATACAATTATGTTCTCACATAGGTATCATACCTTGAAATGTTTATTAAAATTAAACAAATGATTGAAATGTAAAACAACATAACCCGATCACTGTTCTGAAACAAATCTGAAAGCTGTAATTTTGGCATGACTTATTTTGTTTCATTTTTCTTTTAAAAGTACAGGAGAAAGAAACATTCAAAACCATTTGGTGATTATATAAAGCAAATACACTTTTAAAAAAAAATTTATGTTTAAGGCAAATTAATGAGCTTTCAAAGTAAACCCTTCAATATAAAAATATTATAATGTCCATTTTTCGAATACATAAAGCAATAAATTATTACAGATATATTAAATAATAATGTCATAGTTAAATGCATGTATAGTACAATCTATTCTATGTTTTTACTATTTAGTTACTGTAACTAAGTTTGGTTTCTCCTTAATTTTCAAGATTTAATTTACTGATTTATTAAGTATTTAAAATTAATTTCAGTCACAAGTCCAATATACATCAACATTATTTAATACATTTTATAAGAAATTTTAAGTAAATGCATCTACAGAGAAATATAATTATGAATTTCTACATAACATTTGTGTTTGATTGTGTGTCATCAAAGAAAAATCATCATATCATTTTATTAATAGTTTACAATTACAGGCTCAAATGTTTCGCGTCATTCTTTTGATGCTGCCTATAGCAGAGCAAATTATAGCATTTCTTTTTGTTTGACCTTATTATTTCTTACTAATATCAGAGATATGATATTAAATCTCTAGGCAAAACATCCTACGCAATTTATTGTTATATTTATATAATGACATATTTATTGCAGCCGTATCACTGTGATGCAAGAAGTAAGTCCCAAAACGAGCACAAAAAAGCCATTTTGATATTTCATTACTTTTTGATATTTCTCATAGTTTCAATATAAAAACAGCAATACATATATTCCAACAGAAAGTAGCAATACATATATAATATATCCCAACAAAAGAACCGCCAATCTGGAAAGGGGCATGCTTTTTTTTTTAAATATAAATGTGACTTATACTTATTATTTTTGCAGTCGATTGCCGTTGTTACTTTCCACTGTATGTTTTTTTTATTTCAAATAGTCTTATGAAAATCATTTAAGTATAAGAAAATTTTAGATTAATTTTTAATAGCGTAATGCAAATAAAATTATTGTTTTTTTTAATTAGATTTTATCTATGACTTAAATACATACGAATTTTAGAATTGTCAAATTTAGATATTTTCTTACTAGTTAGATTCTTTAAATCGAGAATATTGTTCATTATATATTTGTTTTTCAACTTTGTAAGGTTTAAATAAAGTACATAATTTTATTTACATTTCACAGCATTTTTCCTGAGTACTGAGGATTTTTTTTTATTAAAAAATAAATTGAGCCTGCTGAAAATAGATCATGTTGACCCTTTTTTTTTCTTCATGAAATTATAGTTTCAATGTTGTTGTTTTTTCTTTAACAATACTTGACACGAATTTTTACATGTTATTTTGCCAATAAATGCTAAACATTATAAATGCTTTTCTTGGTTCATTTCTATGCCATATTATTTATATATATTTTTTTTCTTAATTTTAATGCCAAGTTAGTTTTTAATGCATTTTTTTCTTTATTTTACATTATTCTTTCCTGCATCTTTTAAAATGTATAATGAAAATTAAATTAGCTTATTTATCTATTTATTTATTTATTTATATTTTTATTTAATTACTTATTTATTTATCTTTTTATTTATTTATCAGACAACGAGTCTTTAAAAGTGATATTTTAGAAAATTAAATCAAGGGTTTGTATTTGTTACGTTTTTTTTGTTGTATTTTTTGTTGTTGCTGTTTTTTTGTTGTTTATTTTTTGTTGTTTTTTATGTGTTTTTTTAACTTTATTTTAGCTATATTCAAGTTAAAATATTACAGCGTTTTTATCATAAACTCATCATTATTTTGCATTATATAATTTTTTATCTTTATTTTAGTTATTTTACAGCCAATTTTTTACTGAAAATATTTTTGTTTGTTATGTGATAATATTGGTTTACATACTTTTGATATCCTATGTATATCTTGTATTATCCAGGCTTATTACATAAATTAATTGAACTGTTTATCCTATGTTGAATTATACGTTTTACTTAAATAAATTTATAACAAATATCATATGACATTTTCTGTAATTTCATGACACGATTATTTTTAAATTTTATAAACAATAATAAATACATCAATAAAAATAAAAATGTTGTGTGAAAATTTACTTCTTTTAACTTATATTTATAAATGAACATGTAAAATTGTTATTTTTTGATACTTTATATTAATGGAAATGAACGTATTGCCTCTTCCTTTGTTTTATATATATTTATACATGGATGGATGATATGTACGTTTCAATTTTGATTTTATAATCACGTCAAACACCATATCATTGTTGTCAGTTATAAGCCAAAATAAAACAACAACAACAATAAAGGACTTTAGACAACTTTCTCATTATAACTTGTGTGCATTATTATTATTCATTTAATTTTATGCACATACCATATTTTTATGGTACGTTAGTGATAACAAAATTCGTGTAAATATAAAATTTTCATAAAAAAGATTTAATAAATGTTTATGTAAAAATTGATTTATATTAAAAAAAAAGATGAAAGGGGTATTTGACATTTTCAAGTATACGCAAAAATCTAATGTTTTCCCTGATAAACCTTAAACAGGCATATCTGGTGAGTTTAAGTAAAACGACACGTATGTACATGTATATGGTGCAAACTTTTACAGATTATTTGTGCATGCATAGATTGCATTGATATCACTCAAACAATATTATGAAGAAAGCAAAAATTATTGTCAGAAATAGAAAATACAATGTAAGTAAGTTCGATTGATAAATATTACTAGCTTAAAATATACAGGCTATTATTTTATAATTAGAATAATGCTACTAAGTTAGGGTAATGAAACATTTTATGTATAGCTTCTAACATCACTATAGGCATATCAAACTTCACATGTCAGATATCTATAACATAATTATTGACATTGAAACAGAAAATGGAGACGTCAACTTGACAATTTTAGCTATTACCATAGATCTTGTCTCTCGAGTATTAATGTCGAATAACTAACTTTGTGCTAGAAGATTAATAAAGATGTATAATAGTAATCCAGTTGTATTTCCGTGTGCAAGCACATTGTCATTACCACAAATGCGATATGAGATTTATGATAAAGTAACATGACGGGAAGCATAGTGACATGAACTTTGTTGATAAAATACCTTCTTCGTCCTCGATTATTTTAGTATGTTTTAAATATGTCCAGTTTTGACCTATCTAAAGCACACGTACTACAAGAAAGTCAAAACATTACAATTTTGGAATATAAAACTATCAACTTGCTGAGGCTCGCGCAAACACAAATAATACATTTAGTTATTTACTAAAACATGTTCTAACACAAACAATAACCTACCAGTATACTCTAAAAACATAAGTGTGAGAACTGGAATAACTATAACTGAATAACTATATTTAAAGAATTTCAAATAAATAATTCATTTTGTTTTTGTTAATATGAACATATATAGGTACTAATGCCATGTAATGAAAATATTAACGCCTAATTGAAAGTTGTTTTCCTTTAATTTTTCTCAATTAAGACGATGACAAATGATTCTACAAACCAAATGCAGATACGTGTATTTTTACATTATTTTTCTATCACTATACAAGACCAAAGTTATTCAAGATATTTTTCATACAGTCAATTCATTATTCCCCTCATAAATCTATTAAAATTAATTTCATTTTAAAATTCCGCACTTTGCATTGACCCCACAACCCGTTTGAAATATCAGACACGGTATCCGTGCTATTGCAGTATGATGCTGATTAAAATTCGGTCTACATTTTACTTTGGCAAGTTTTCTACCAGAAAAAAAACAACAAATGGTATCACCTAAAGTTAAAGCTTTTGGTTTAACATTCTTTGCCAAAAATGGTTCTTGA